TTCCGCACCATAGCGACGGCGACGACGACTGTCGAAGAGTACTCGTTCCCGAATTTCGTCATGACCGCGACGCTCTAACTTTAAATTGCCCAACACGATGAGATTCAACCAACGAGATTATGCAGCTTGAATAGGGGGTTTCAAAGTTGAAAATGGAGATTTCAATGGAGTTCGAAAAAATGGACTTTCGAAAATACGGCGCGCTGATTGGACAAAAAGGAAGCGAATTTCTCCCTTGTCGAGGCAACTCCATTGCAATCTCCATGGTCGATTTTCGGCCATGGAGCGAGTCCATGATGGAGAGAAGTGAGGCCATCAAATTTCGCAAGGTTTTTTGAGAGCGCGCGGCCGCGCCGTTAGACGCGGCGGGCAAGAAGGCCAGGGTAGTCTACTCGAACAGGGGCATGTGCGCCAAGCCAGCGCGCATGCGAGACGAGTAGTCCTACAAGGACATGCGCGGAAGGCTCTCTGCAGCCGACCGTGAAGAACGTTTCATCAACATCGAGACGAAGGACGATGCCACGTGGGCGACGTCCGCTATGCCCAACGACGCCCACAACCTGGTGCGCAACCAAGACGATGCACGTTGTTCTTTACTTCAAGACCATAGATAAGGCAGCGGACCTGTTGAGAGGATCTCAAGAGGAGGTACGCTGGCGCAAGGACCGCCATGTCCTCGGACCTAGCTCTCGAGCCTCGGACTGTCGGGCGCCACGCAATAAAAACGAATCAAATTATGGAGGTACATGCATTTCGGCCTCCGGAATGCCTCCGGAAAGCAAACGCTTTTCATTGGCTATAAATCAAGCAATTTTTGGCGCCATGGACCTGCTCCATTGCCATTGGCTTTTCCATTTTTTCAACTTTGAAACCCCCTAATACATGTACAAAGATACCAGTGGGTCGAGGTCCTTCAAGAAAGAAGCAAGAAGTCGGCGAAGAACACTCGGGTTCCGACATTCGAAGCCTTTTGCGCGAGACTTCCTCGGCGATGGAATCCTTCTTGAATGTAGCGAGCAGTGGTTGCGGACCACTCCGTTCGGCATGCGACACACGGCTGCAGCGAGCCGCTCGTCGAAGCGGCGATGGCCCTCGATCCAACGTGACCCGCGGGGCCGTGTGTATTCAGCACCGTCGACCGGCTGGAAGCGAGTTATATAACTGTGCTCGGTCTTGTGCTTCTCGTTGTGCCCCACGGCAACAAGATACAGCAAAGTGTCGTTCGGTGAAGCCACTGGATACGTTCTGAGCGGTATCTTATCCATACAAATACCAAGCCTAATGGGTGGCAGCACCGTCGACGTCATCCAGATTCACCATTGAAATCACAAAAGTTGATCAAAAAGTAGCTATTTGTGTGCAGAAGAATGCACTCGGTTTCTTGAACTTTAGTCGATTGAATCGAACGAGAAGGATTGGGATCAAACCCATTGCATGGGTCGAGAAGAAACGTTTTGGCGCTGGACATGATGCCCCATCGACCAAGTACTTAGCGAAGGGAGCAGCTCAATGCTTCAACCATCCGCGCGATCTACGATTCAGGTGCGGGGTCGACCGTGTGGACAGGCGACAGATTCCGGCGTAGGTCACACCCACGATATAGTCAATTCAATATATATTGGCCGCCTTGCAGCTGCGCGTGGGACGAGGGGTCTGTTCGAGCGTGTTCCATGGATGATTCAAATGGCCTCACCACCGCGCCTCGAAAGTATTCGGGTCATGCCCTTGCTCGTCAAAGAAACAAGCTGCCCTCTCTCGCATTCACAGGGCCGTGCTAGTCGCCTCGGATCTTTATAAGCATCTCGTGCTCATGTACTAGCGCCTGCGGTGTTATGTGTCGTATGCGGCGTCGTGGCACGACCTTGAGCTTCAAGGAACTGGCGCTGTGCAAAGATCACGAAGTGGGCGTGTCGCAAATCGCGCTGGACAGTGTTTGCACTTGGCACTTAACAAAATACCATGACCTCGTTCATTGCCGGCGCCAACCAACTCCAGCTGCTCACGCGCGGCGCGCAATTCGCCGTCAGCGCCATCGCCTTCTTCTGCGTCACGGGCGTCACCGGTCTTTCCGCCGGTGACTTTGCCTTTGTCACGGCCTTCCTCTTGGCTGCGCACGCCGCCCTCTACTACCTCCTCGCGATCCATTTCAAGAAGCTCGAGCTCTCGGCCTTCACCGTGCTCGTGACCGACGGCGTCCTCGGCGCGCTCGCGCTCATCGCGGCCATCGTGCTCGCTGCCAGCTCCAAGGCGTTCTTCTACTGCCACGCCAACAGCTGCGGCGCGCTGTACATTGCCACGATCGGCCTCTTCCTCGCCGCGGCCATCCAGGGCTTCCTCGCGTACCTCAGCTACGCGGCGCTCTACTTGACGCCCAACAGCGCGGTCGTCGTCGAGGACCTCGAGAACCCGGTGCACGAGACGACCGAGTACGTGGCGCCCGTCGAGATCAAGACGCCGACGGCGCAGTAATCGATGCCCCCTCTCTTCTTAACCTATGTCAATGCGATTCTAGCAAGTGCCCATTTGATTCTGTGCATCTCAGAGACTACCGACTACTGCTGGTACCTCATTAGTCGCTGCGCCGGCGAGAACACCTGAGCAAACCCACTGCCCGATACACTCTCAGTTCGACTATGTGGCTTTGGTGATCCCGCATAGTGGTCCTTGCGCTCTGCAGTAGATGGCTCAAGCGTACACGGGCGTCTCGATAGAACATCCAGCACCACCGTATCCGACAACTCAGTACGTAGTGTAGTCGTTGCAGACTTGTGCATTTGGCAGACGACCAAGTGCAGTACATCAAGTACATCATTTCGTGCATGCATTACATAAACGTTAGCTTCAGACGCGACGATCTTACACTTGGGCGAGGTGTTCCTGGGGCGGGACGTACTCGCCAGGGTACTCGCCGCGGGGCGTGCGCGGCTCGTTGGCGCCAAACGCGTCGTTCATGTCGAGAGCGTCTTCCATCGGCACCTTGGGGCTCGAGTAGTCGACCATGGTCAAGCCAAACGAGATCAAGTGGAGGGCCGCCACGATAAAGAGGAACGCGGTCGACGCGCGGTACGACGAGCAGTTGATGCCGTCAGTCACGTTGAGCGCGTTCTGGAGCTTGCAGGCGTCGTTAAGCAACTTGGACGCGGCCATGGAGATGCCCGCAATGAATAGCAGCGCGCCGAGCACAGCGTCGTGGGCGAGCAGCGCCGTCTTGGTCGGGTACACGGCGGGCACCTTGTGCAAGAGAAGGAGCCCGACCATGCCCATGGACGCCATCCAGCCCGTGTAGGCGACGATGAGGCTGTAGTCGGCGTACGAGAGGCCTGTGACGGCCGTGGCCGTGAGCATGGCCACGAAGGCGCTGCCCGCTTGCAGACCGCGGAGGACCAGGTGGATCATGGCCTTGTGGAGGTGGTAGCTTGTCGGTAGCGCGACCATGACAATTGCGGAATGCACAGCACTGTGGCAGGATTTCTCGGACGGTGCGTTTAGCCATTTGATAGAAACATCGCACCTCCCACTAAAAACACGCCACTTCCCGCGACGGTTTCGAAAGCTGACCAATCGGCGGGCGCTGAAATAGCATATCGGCAAATCGTGCCAAAAAGGGGTACGGCCGTTAAGCTTCGAATCGAAGGCAACTTGGTCAACCCATCCAAGCGTTCGCCAGTCGTAAATCCTAGGGCCTCGAGAGCATAGAGCTATCTATACTAATTCGTTTTGTTTTTCTCTACTGAAATGCAAGCGGGGGTCAATATTTCTATTGAAATCTAAGTCGGTTCAGGCTCCGAAAAAGGGCGCGTACCCCTTTTTGACATATTCCGGCTTTTCCATCGAATCCCAAATTGCACTTCCAAATTGCAGTTCCAAGAACGGTGGGGCAGTTGTGAGAGGTGATCGGTTGGCTCGCCAAAGCTTCCTTGAGGCAACGTTCGATCAGTGTTCGTACACACATCTCCGCTTCAAGCTTATAGCTTATAGCTCATCACAAAACGCCTCCTATACCCTAGACGGGCGTCGCAGCTTCCATGCGCATCGTAGCGCTAGGCTTGGCGTTCGGCGTGAGCGGCATGTCTTCGGGCGCCGCGTGCACCTGGTCGTACTGCAGCACTGCGTCGACGCCACAGAGCATCGAGAGCACAAACAGCGTCGTCATGCTCCACTCGAGCGCCTCGCAGCTCACGTTGGCGCTGCGGTGGCAATAGCGGTAGTGCGAGCTGTCAGCGAGCATGATCGTACCCACGAGGAAGGCCACGGCAAAGGCGACTGCCATCTTGGCTTGGGCGCCGATTCTAGTACAACGCCATGAGGGACAGTACAGATCGATGTGACGTACCGAAGTGTCGACCAGCGCTTGCTGACATGGAGCACCACAGAGCTGGCCGAGAGCACGAACGCTGCAATGCTCGCCACAAGCATGGTGCCCACCGTGTACGAACCCGGGAGCACGAGCAGCTTGCGCACCGGGGGCTTGACCGGGTGAAAGACATGGCAGAGCACGACGACGGCGAGGAGTGCGACTAGCATCTCGACGCTGCGGAGGCTCAGCGTCAGGTAGTGGGTCGTCGTCGTCATGGCAAAAATAAGAAGTGAGCTGAGTCGAATGCCCGAATTTGGTCCCGTTGGCACGCGCGCTCCTGGCAACGGGTGTACCAGATCTGGGAGACGACGGCGACATTGCGCCGTTGCCGCCGATTGCATCTCCTCGTATCCGGCACTATCCGGATCGGGCATGGGCCACGGCGTCCTGCTCGCGCTACTCGTCGGCGGCGTTAGCGTCTCCTACTACATCATCCAGCTGCGTGCCCGCATGCGATTGCTGCACGACGAAGCGGCGAAGAAGGAGACGCAGCGCCAGGAAGAGCGCGCCGGGCGCACCTCGGCTGAGAAGGTCGGCGTCGGTCATGGCGACATGGGCTCATACGGCGTGGTAGGAGCTCAGGGCGTTGCTGCAAGCCAAGCTCGACGTCTCGGCAGGCTACTACATCCAGCCGATCGCAACGCTGCGCTCTGTCTTCCACCAGTGCATTGGCACGCCGCGCCAAGGGTACTTGGCGCCAGCCACGTGCGCGCACGTCGAGTGCCACAAGAGCATCTCGCCCGAGGCGCTCGACGGCCTCGAGGCGTTTAGCCACGTCTGGCTCACCTTTGTCTTCCATTGCAACACGAACGGGAAGAACGCGCGGGCGCATACTGGCTTGCGCACGGAAGCGGGGACGGCCCACACGTTTCGCGTCCGACTCGATCGATGCTTCGTGAGCTCATGTTGGTCGCGTAGGCCAAGGTGAGTCCGCCCATGCTCAAGCAGCGCATGGGCATCTTCGCCACGCGGACGCCGCATCGACCCAACCCGATTGGCATCACGCTCGCCAAGATCGAGCGCGTCGACAAGGCCGCACGCACGGTCGTCGTCTCGGGCATCGACCTCGTCGATGGCACGCCCATCGTCGACCTCAAGCCATACGTCCCCGGTACGTTCGTCCGTTACACCGCTCAGTACCATCATCTCCTGCCCTGGCATAGCCTACGACTGCATGGAGCCCACCGACGTGGCCGTTGCGCCGTGGATCGCGGCGACAGTGTCGACGCAGCGGTAGCACTGCACACCGCATGGAGGCAGCTCAGCGTGCTCCGTAGATCGGTCGCGTGGGTGCCCGAGGCCAAGGCTACCGTGCTGCGCCTCTCGCGCCCGAGCCGGTTCTACGCGAACGACACTGCCCGCCTCTGCGACGGTAGTCAACCCTGCGAGATCCGACAACGAGGAAGCTCATGAACGACCAGCCATCACGCAGGTGCTCGCCGTCGACGTGCGCAGCGTCGAGCAGACGAGAAAGATGGCGTCGCGCGTGAACCACCTTGCGTTTGACGACCTGGACGTACAGTACGAAGTCCAGGACACCCACCCACAAGTGCGTGTCGTCGGCGTGGGCCGGCGCTGAACCCAAGGAAGGGGATCCGCCACGTACCCAAGAGCGGGGCACGGGGTACGGTGGCGTCAAGGTGGCGTCGATGGCGCAGCAAGTAGCTCTGTGGACGCTGCAATAGAGACCTAAGTGATACCGGTGCGCTTGTGGTGCATGTGGAGGCGACGCTGGGCGGCTTCATGACCGCGACGTGTGGATGGAGACGATGACAACACACAAGACAAGCACACAATGTTTCTTCGTGTCGTTTAGATCTTTTCGGTCAATTCGGGGACGACCTTGAAGAGGTCGTCGACAAGACCGTAGTCCGAGACCTGGAAGATCGGGGCCTCGCCGTCCTTGTTGATGGCGACGATCGTCTTCGAGTCCTTCATGCCGGCCAAGTGCTGGATGGCACCCGAGATACCGACGGCGATGTAGAGTTCCGGCGCGACGACCTTGCCCGTCTGGCCGACCTGGAGCTCGTTCGGGACAAAGCCCGCGTCAACGGCCGCACGCGACGCACCGACCGCGCCCTTGAGCTTGTCGGCGAGCGTGTTGAGCATGGCAAAGTTCTCACCGCTCTTCATACCGCGGCCACCGCTGACGACAACGCGAGCCGAGGCCAAGTCGGGGCGGTCCGACGAGCTCGTCTCCTCCGAGACAAACTTGGTCAAGTTGGCGGGGGCAGCAGTGGGCGCGGCCGACACCGAGGCCGAGCCACCCGTGGCAGCCGCCTTCTCAAAGCCCGTGGGGCGGATCGTCATGAGCTTGACAGCGTCCGACGACGTCACGGTCGCGATCGCGTTACCGGCGTACATGGGGCGCTGGAACGTGGTCTCGTCGACGACCGCGAGCACATCCGTCAAGGGCGCCACGTCGAGCGTCGCGCCGAGGCGCGGAACAAAGTTCTTCGAGATGTTGGACGACGGCGCAAGGATGTGCGAAAAGCTCGACGCGGCCTGGACGGCGGCGACGAGGTTCGTGACCTCCTCGGCGATCGCGTGGTCGTACTGCGCGCTGTCGGCGTGGAGAACGGCCTTGACGCCCTGCACGGCCGCAGCCTCCTGCGCGATGGCGGCCGTGTTGGAGCCCGAGACGAGCACCGTGATGTCGCCGCCAATCTTGGACGCGGCCGTGATCGCGCTCAGGGTCCCGCCCGTGAGCTTCTGGCCGGCGTGCTCGGCGACAACCAAGGTCGAGGCGAAGCGGGCAGCCGAGAGCTTGCTAAGGGCGCGCAGAGGAGTCTACGTGGCAGCCTGCGCATGAGGCCATGGAGCCGCGCGGCTAAGGACTTACGTGGAACATGGTGGCGTGTTGATGCAACAGAAACTGGTGTGGTCAGGAACTCCTCGCCCCTCTTGAGCTGTCTACTAATACGCAGTATCCGGATGAAACCGGAATTCCTGGACTTCGTCGACATAAATAGTGTGCACTTGGCCTCGGCCGGGTTCCGTGGGTACCACACGCAGTGCGAAGGAGCTTGGTCTCAACGACGCATTCGACACAGAGGCCAAGAGAGAAGCTGGGAGCTCTGTGCGACTCTGTTGCCGTCAAAATCGGTGCGCGATGGTCCTGTCATAGGGAGGTTGAAGTTCAGACTATTTCCGTGGAAGACGCCTCGGCACGAAAACGTAAATGATGTTATATTTGACCCAGACTATTTGCGAATGTGTGTGGGGCGTGTAGTGCGCACGCGTTTCTATAAAATCCCGTGCTGTTTGATACAAATATCAAGTACAAATTTCATTTTACAATTTAAATACAGTGCAATTTAATGACGTCATCTTGGGCCGTGGCTCGCAGCAATCCGATTGGCTAAAATCCTGCTGCTGACCCAGCGATGATTCGCGGTGAAGATCGCGCTCGTGTGAGTTGGATTGGCCAAAAGCTTGTGGCTTTCCAGCATATGATTGGCTGCTGCTTGCAATTCTTTCGCCCACAATGGCAGCAGGCGTCGTGCTGCGCAACGCCGAGCTCGTCCGCGTCATCGCCAGCTACGAGGCCGGTGTCTACGCCGACGTCCGCGCCTGCTTGCGCTGCGTGCATGAAGCCAGCTGCAGCCTGCTGCGCCCTTCGGCCTTCCGCCACCCGTGGCTTCTGCGCCTCGTGCCCTTCTACGACGCGCTCGACCAGCAACTGGCCGCGTTCGCTGCCGCCTTTGCGCCATGGCTCGCACAGTGGGGCGTTCGCCGCCTACATCGCCTTGTAGCATGCGACGACAACATGCGCTTTGTCCTGCTGACGCATGCCGTGGCCGTGAACGACGAGGTGCTCTTGGCGTCCATCCTCGCGTCGCCGGCGATGTGCCCGACCGACACACTGCCGTTCACACACGCAATCGAGCTCGGCGCTTGGAAGGGCCACGTCAAAGTCGTACAGATGCTCTTGTTGCGTAAGGACCACCGCTGTACTGCCTCTGCGCTGGACTTGGCGGCGCGGGCCGGTCACTTGCCAATGGTCCAGAGTCTCCACACGCGCGGGTATGAGGCCACGCGCCGAGCCATGGACGACGCAGCGACCCGCGGCCACATCAAAATCGTACGCTTCCTCCACGACGTGCGCCGCGAGGGCTGCTCGACGGACGCCATGGACGGCGCGGCCGCCAACGGTCACTTGAACGTCGTGGCCTTTCTGCACGACCACCGCCGCGAAAGCTGCACGGTACGCGCGATGGACGAGGCAGCCGCCAACGGTCACTTGACCGTCGTCGACTTCTTGCACCGGTTCCGCCACGAGGGGTGCTCGACGCGCGCGATCGACGGAGCGAGCTTCCACGGACATTTGGACGTCGTCCGGTTCCTCTTGACGCACCGGCGCGAAGGCGGCTCGCGCGAAGCGATCATCGGCGCGCAGCAGCGCCACCACAGTGCCATCGTCGCACTACTTAGCGCAGCTACGTTGACAATGTGACTGTTGCACAAAAAGATGACACCATTTTTCATTCCGATCCGAGTCGAAATTTGAAGTACAGAATACCAAGCAATGCGAGACCGGCAGGGATGAAGATGCCGAGCAAGTAGAGCTGCGACGTCTCTTCCGGACAGCCGTGCCCACCGGCAAGCTTGAGGCAGTTGGTCGAGTCAAACATCGACGTCATCGTCCCCGTGATGGACGTGGCGAGGATGACGAAGAAGGCGTAAAAGATGCATCCGGCGACGGTCGGGTAGCTCCCGCCGTGCTTCTTGAGCTCTAAGACCGCTTCCTTTTGACTCGGCAGCAGGACGACCCAGAGACAGCCAATGACAGTGGACGCATACGCAATGGCATACGTCCACGCGACCTCGTTTCGGGTCTCGGGGAGGTCCTTCTTGATCGCGCGGCTGCTGACGCTGAAGTTGGCGTCAACCACGTTGGTGATCATCGGGCCAAAGACGCCCGGGAGGTTGTGGATGGTGGTGAGGAGGCCGTAGAGCACGCCTTCGCTGCCTTCTTCGGCCAACTCGACAATGACAAAGGACCCGACGACAAAGTTGACGGCTAAGGGCAGCTGCTCCGTGAGTGGCACGCCGAGGAAGAACCACTGGTTGCGGACCACATTGTAGATGGTGCAGAACGCTACGACAGCGTCAATCGCGTTGGCTGTTAGCGTCGTGAGGACGAGCATGTAGCGCCAGTTCCAGCGCGTGCCGTACTTGCCCGTGGCTGCGATAATCCCAGCGTAGAGGACGCTGCCAAGAATGCCCATGAGCGACGAGTTGAGGTTCTCGACCTTGGCCCAGTAGAGCGCCACGTACGGCGCCGCGGTCGTCGAGATGTACGAGGTGAAGAAGGCGAAGAAGAAGATGTAGAGCATGACCTGCCACACGACGCGCTTTTGCGCGAGCGTCCAAAACCGCGCCAAGTAGCTCGAGACCGACACCCGCGTCGTCGACTGAACATCTTTGAGCCAAAACCAGACCACCGGGACGTTGAGGATCGAAGTGGCCGCCAAGATCCAGAAGTACCCGTTGACGCCAATGTCCCAGTCGTATGTGCCGGTCATGCGCGTCGAGTTGAGGCAGAAGCCGGAGACTGCTGACATGCCGGGCATCGCCAGCGCCCGCACCGAGTAAATCAGCGCCTGGAGCCGACCACGACGGGCCACCGGCTCACGCTGCGAGTACGCGACGAGGAGTGCGTCCTGCGCGACGTCGGCCATGATGTAGCAAAAGCACGCGACCGCGCAGAGCAGTGCGAGCACCGACCCGTTGGCGGTCGCATGAGGATCCGGCGCCGGCTCGCCCGCGGGCTTGAGCGCCACGATGAGCAGCAGTATCGCCGTGAGGGTCCAGCCGATGAGGATGTATGGCTTGCGGTGGTAGCCGCAGATGGGCACGCAGTCGGTGAGCATGCCGAAGAAGACCTTGAGCGACCACCCGAGGCTCATGAGCGCCGTCGCCGAGTTGAGGATGTTGCCTTCGAGGTTGAAGTACGCGGTAAGGATCGGGTACTGCATCCCAGAGATGCCGCCGTAGACGACGCCAATGGCCGCGTACTGGAAGAGGAGCGCGAGGATCTCGGGCGACGTGTACACGGGCGCGTCGCCGGCGCGGAGCCCGCCCGTCTCCATGGCCGTCGGCGTCTTGGCCTCGATGTAGTCGAACTCGGGCTTGCCCAGACTGCTCGCAATGCTGGCGCGCGAGTTGCGCTCGTGGCGGGCGACGTCATGGCGCTGGCCTAGCATGGCCGATATAATTCGAAAATGGTGTACATGGCAGCGATGGTCAGCGCGCGCTGGGACTGACGACCATCTGGCCAGTGCGGTACCGAGCGTTGCTTGTCGTGTCTTGGGCCATTCTTGAAGGCGCAACGGGTTGTGAGGTGCCACCAAGAATACCGCCTCGTATGTGGCCTGCAAAATGGCCTCCAGGAAGGTAATAAGTGATGATGAGCTTCGTAGCCAAAGCTGGTAGCCTAGGACATCGGTGACGACGAGCTATCACCCGACGATTTTTGTCAGGCGTAATGGTGCTTCGTGCAGCTACTCCACCGACACTTCTGCTCAACGCAGTTGACGTGGTCAAAAGGCAAGCTGCGTAGCGACGCTGTGGCAGCCAGCTCGCCGCGAGTATCGCTGGTTCAGCTCGGTGAAACACTCCACGACGAAGCCCATGCTTCAAGTCCAAAGCCGTTAGCTATGGGCAACGGTCGATGGCACCCAATATCGCTGGTGCTCGAGGTATCCATTCGGCTAGAGTCTGTGGTCAGCGACAAGCCCTTTCATATCGTGCAGATGCAGTCGTCATGCGCAGAACCACACGACTCTGCTTGTCTGTTTGCCAGTGTTTCGTCCTCCAACGCACGAGCATGGGATCGCGTTTCGCCGCCGCAAGTGGTGGGTTGAGTATCTATGAGGTTGGGAGCTTGACGACCCAACTCGCAAATGAGCGTGATAGCTTGTTCTTCGGGGAAGGGCTATAGGCGCAGCCCGTCAGCTCGTTGAGGGAGCGACTGCTTTCATTGGCTCCCGACCCACCGCGTGCGTCAGTGCGACGCATGATTGGCTCTGACACGGTGCTGCATCCCACGGGGGTCACCACCGTGACTGGGCGATGACCGACGGGGCTGCAGCTGGTATGTAGGCAAGTCGCTGGCGAGTAAGTAAGCTTATGTTACAGGCGGCTCGTATGTCCGCGTGTCAGCTATATGCGGCTCGACCTTGGGCATGAACCTTGGGCTTGTTCTTGGGGCAGCAGCATCTCGGTCGAATACCGCGCAGAAGTTCATTCGTACAGGCTGTGCGTCCCATCTCACTCCCTTGCATTGGACTGCCACAAGCCAACGGCACCAGATTCACAGTGCGACATGCGACTCAGAGATCTGCACTTCACGCATTCTGGATTCGGCTGCATACCAGAACCCGTTCGCAGCGTCGTCCCAGAGGCGAAGATTGTGCCCACAAGAGCCTTCTATCCCGCCCTCGCAGCAGTCTCTGGCGCCTTGCCGCGCCAGAACGCGGTGCCAACCACGACATCGGACAGTTGGACCAGCCTGCATTCTGCGGACCAGGATTCGGGACATACATTCTGAAGCCGCTCACCAGCCAACACCGTTGGGTTCAGATCTGAATTTGCCACCGCCTACAACCATGGCCTCCGAGACGATCACGCCCCCCGGCCTCGTGCAGCAGCGCTGGACCTTCAACGCGACGCTCGACGGGCTCTTCCTCCACCTGCCCGGGCGCGTCCACGTCCGCTACGACCAAGCGGCCAACGCCAGCGCCGTCGTGACGGCTTCGGCCACGTCCGCAGACCTCCTCGCCCTCGTGCTCGCGAGCGTGGGTAACCGTAGCTTTGACACGCACATTGAGATCGACGGCGTTGAGTTGCCAGTGCCCGGCCCCCACCCGGTCCTCAACATCACGACCGGGCACCCGGACCACGTGACGCGTGGCGCGCTCCTCGTCGACGTGGTGCTCCGGTCGCCCGTGACGTACCTCTCGACGCACGCCGAGACGATTGTGGAGGCGGGCGCGTTGGCGACAAGCGACGCGACAGCGGCACTCGAGCTCCGCGCGTATGACGCCGGCGCCATCTTTTACACGGACACCACCGGCGTCCGCGTCCAGAGCCTCAAGCTGGATGCCTCCGACGCGGCGACGATCCAAATTGTGACGCCGTCGGTCGACGTCGGGACCAAGCTCTCGATCGACGCCGACGACAGCAGTCGCGTCGCGGTTACGGCCAACACCACGTCGGCGGCGACGCTCAAGGCGAGCGCGAGCGACGCCGGCGCCATCTACCTGCACTCGGACGTCCGCGTCGACAAGCTGCAGACGTCGGCCGACGACGCCAGCGTCGTGAGCGTGTACCCGTCGGGGTCGTGCAGCACGAGCAAGGTCGACGCCGAGGACCTCGGCGCCGTGTACATCGGGTCGATCGTCTGCGTCGACTCGTACGCGTCGGCTGCCGACGCCGGGCGCGTCGTGCTCCAGTCGACTGGGATTTTGCACGCGAGCACGGACGACGGCGGCGCCGTGACCTACTTCAACTCGACGCCGGCGCAGTTGCCCAAGACGCGCCGCCCGCACAAGTGGTTCCGCTTCGACAGCCCCAACGTGCACGCAACGACGACGAACGAGTACGCGACGACAACGCTCCTGCCGACGCCCCGCGCCGAGCCCATTGCCATCGTCTTTACGCCGCGTGTGCACGGCTTTAGCTGGAGCTGGGGCGGCTGGACGGCGCTCAACACAGCGCCGACGGTCGTGTCGGCCTCGATGGAAGCCACGTCGCTTGTCGCCTGCGCCGCGCTCGTCCTCCTTGCGGCCTTTGTCGCCATCAAGCGTGTCGCGCGCGGACGCTACCAGCGCATTCAGTAAGATATGGCTTTTGGTCGGAATGTATCAAGCTAATATCAATTCAGCACCGTTTTGTGTCCAATGTACGATGATGACAAATGCGTCCCTACGGTGGAATACGAAGTACATAGGCTGCTCCCCGTGGGCAGCTCCGGCTTTTCGAGCACTTCAAACTCAATTCCAATTCTTGAATCCGTTCGTTGAGGAATGCCACTTCAATTCTCGCACTCGTTCGTTGAGCAAGCGCTGGCTTGACGTGCCGCACGACGCGCAGGCATCCATATTGACAACGCAGCTGCGTGACGTGTTTTGGAAAATGCTCACGTCCGCGACAGCTGCTCCTTGGAGCGTCCATCATCCACGCGCTCTCGTCCTGCATCATGGTCGACGCCTCCGCGGAGCACGGTGCGAGACGGCAGCGATTCGCGCACAGACGCAAAACCGACACGAATAAAGATGCTGCCTTTAACACTTCTCCAAGCTTGGGACGAAGCAACCACCACGCTCGGCGGCAGCAAAGATCCGACGCCGGTGGGTGTCGCCTTTCCTCATATGTCGCGACACCCGACTCCTGTCCTGAGCTCTGGACTACTCTAGCTCAGCTCTCCACCTCCGACCGATCCCGCCGGCTCTCTACGACTGGTTGCTACCACTCGCTCCCCACTGTACGACGCCGTCGCGTGCCCATGGCCAATGGCCTGTCCGAGGCCAGGGATGCGCAGGCCCATCACTCTCGTTACACGCACTCTACACTGCCGAATCGACGACTTAGTCACTTTGCACTTTATCATGTCGGAGACGATCACCGCGCCGGGCCTCTTTGAGAAGACGTTCAGCACCAACGAGACTCTCCACGGTCTCTACTTGGACGTGCCAGGACGCGTTATCGTCCGCGCCAACGACGGCGGCAACGCCACCGACGTCACGATCGCGTCCAACTCGGCCGCGCTCCTCAACCTCGTGCTCGCTGATGTCACCTACCGTTACTACAAGGGCACCAACAACTCGTACTTGAACCTCACGCACGCGTACCCGGACGCCACGACCGCCGGTGCCCTCGTCGTGACCGTCCGCGCCAACGCCCCCGTCTCGTACATCTCGTCCCAGGCGCAAACTGTCGTCCACGATGGTGCGCTGGCGTCGAGCGCGCAGGCCAACGTGACGCTCCGGGCGTACGACGCCGGCTCGATCCACTACGCCTCGAACGCCTCGCTCGCCGCATACAACCTCAAGCTGGACGCGGCGGATGCGTCTACTGTCCAAGTCTCGTCGTCGTCGCTCAATGTCACTTACAAGCTCAGCTTGACGGCCGAGGACCGTGGCGTGGTTGCGCTGGCCGCTGACGTTGCTGTTGTGCCGTCCGCCAAAGCCGTGGCCCAAGATGCCGGCGCCGTCTACCTGCAGGCGGTCGACCACGTCGAAGTTGGAAAGCTTGTCGTCGACGCCGAGGACCTCGGCCGCGTCAACGTCTACCCCCACGGCACGTGCGTCACGGGCAAGATCACCGCCGAAGACGCTGGTGTCGCCAACGTCGGGTCGGTCGTGTGCCAGGACGTGTACGCGTCGGCGTCTGACGGCGGCGCCGTCACGGTCCAGGTGACGGGCGTCCTCTCCGCGTCGACGCAGGGCTACAGCGTTGTGCAGTACTTCAACGCGACGCCCCTCGAACTGCCCAAGACGCGCCGCCCGTCCAAGAAGCACAGTGTCCGCGGCCCGAACGTTCTCGCGACGCCCAACAACACGTTCGACTCGTTTGTGTTTACGCAATCGCCGCTCGAGACGCCGATTGCCGTCAAGTTGTTCCCGCGCTTGACCAAGTCGTACTGGGGCGGCAGCTGGACGACGCTCTCGGCCGTGTCGTCGCCCGCCGAAGCTGGCAGCCTCTTTGCCGTCGTCGCCGTCTGCGTACTTGCCTTGGTGCTTGTCGTTGTCAAGCGCTCGGGCCGTGGTGTCCGCTACCACCGTATCCAGTGATCGCAAATCGACGAGATCTGAGATCTGAGATGCAGAACCAAATGAAACTGTCCGTGTGTTGATTGGTCGATTACGTTGCCCTTTCTGCGGCAATAAGATTATAAGATTGGGTTCCTGCGGAGTGGGCTCGTGAAAACCTTTTTTTGAGAGGAAGTGCACCGGCTCGTCGTGTAAGTTTGGCATCGCATTCTGTCGGCAGTGGCGTACAAGTTGCCATGAAGCGTAACTGCTAGAAGATTCTGGTTACAATAAATTGTGGAGGGTAAACTGCAGTCCGAGCCAGGCTGTGGTTGTGTCTCGCCGTGGAGGAGGCGCTGTGCCTCAGACAATGAAGCAGTGATGAAATCCCGAACGTCAAGTGGGTCCGCTCATGGACATTGTTGACCTGACACATTGAAACAAAAGGCACTCGTGTGTCCCGCAGCGGGCATCGTACGGTGGCGCGGGACCCGCCTGCCAAGCCATCAACCAGCCGCAAAGCTCTCGCCGCTGGTGCTCGGTTCAAGAGAGTCGCAGATCCCGAGCACGTCAACGCCATCGATGACTTCGCCCGTGACCATCGTTGCAATGAATGGTGGCCGAGTGATCGTCCAGCGCCCTGCCCAAAAGTAGGTAGAATCCAAGATCACGCGCGCGGGCAAAGTGACTGCACGCGCCACCCAGAAGGCCAACGAGACGCCCGAAGAGAAGGCTGCGCGACTCGCCAAGCGCAAGAAGGCGGACGATGGCGCCGAAGAATGCGCACCTTGAGGTCGTGTGTGCGACTGTACGCCTTGAGTGTGTTGATCGTCTTGTCGCTGTCATAGCGCCTGCTCTCGTTGGCCGGTTGCACAATGGTGGATGCGTCCGGCGCGTCGTTGCGGGGAGCTGCAGAGGCGCCGCGGATGTTGGTTGATGCGCGGCTTCTTGTCGGTGTCTTCCGTCTTTTTGCGCTTGGCGAATCGCGCAGCCTTCTCTTCAGGCGCCTCGTTGGCCCTCTGGGTGGCGCGTGCAGTCGCTTCGCCTGCGCGCATTACCTTGGCTTCCGCCTTCTTTTGGGCAGGGCGCTGGAGCGTGTGTTCGCGGCGTCGTTCTTGTGTTGTGCGAAGGGTAGGATTTGTGAGGTAGCAAGTGGCCGTTGCAGCAGATAGGCGCGGACCAATGCCACAGAGCGACGTGGCGCGAAGAAGGCTGTGTCTGTAGACATCTGATTCGTTTTTGCTGTCGAATCAGACGACGCTAAGCTTCAACTTGGACAAAGTGTAACCGACGCGGCGCCAAGTTTGGATCATTGAATGCCAAGCCAAGATGCAGGCGACGACGTTGTCACATGCTCCGTGTGCCCAACGGCACGTGGTATTCTCAGCTATA